AAGTTGGCTAGATCTTCTGTCCACCAAAAACCATCATCAAAGTCCAGATCATCCTTGACCATCCTCGCGATTTCTGGTGCAATGACGAATGATCGTTCGAGAAATTCGTTCATGTTTCGGCGAATTGCAAGTGGGGAGGTCATGGGAGTCTGCGTGTGTCGAGGGGAAACGGCGGCTGAAGACAAGTGTTAGCTTCACAGCCGCTTGACAAGATAAATCAGCAAAGAAGAAGAGCCATACTGGGAAGCATAGTCTCCGTAAAATTGGCGAGCGGTCCTCGATGACAGCCCAAAGCTTTCCAAAAATCATTATCTGACGGGGCTGTTGGTTCAGGACAAAGTCCGCATGGATCATTGGAGTCACACTAAGACGGTCAGCGAACAAAGTACGAATCCTCAGTCGGCAGTAGCGCACTCACCCCCTTTTTCAAGACTTTACATCGAAGACATGGCCCGACCTCCCGGAGCAGCCGCAGCTCACCAATTGATTCCAACCGCGATTGCCCCACACGACTGCGCTTCAACGGTGGCAGCAAGGGATCGACCTCGGAATCGACTGACCCACGAGGGCCTGCCGGATGTTCGGGTACAAACGAATAGCTCCTTAGCGATTCGCGGTGGTCTTTTGCCGGAGGTTGACTGTTTGTTGCTATTGGCGCAAGCTGAATGTTGGGGCCTGGACGAGGTAGATACAAAGGAGATGGCTGCTTGCTGTAATCGGTGCTGTAACTTCGGTTGGTCTTCTCGGGGAAGACAAGCGGTGGTGTGCCGCTGACTGAGAGACCCGAGTCTCTTTTTTGGAGAGAGACATGCTCTCTCGAGTGTTGATCTCGGTCATCGTGAAGAGGATATCCGTAGATGTAGTGCACACACCTCTCATCCCAACACTTGTAGGAGTGGTGAGTCCGAAAACCTAGAGGTACGCTATCCCTCAACCTCATTGCAGACACAACTGGGTCGAAGCGGGCAATGTTCCTATCCAGCCATGCAGCATACCCTTCCGGCGCTTGATCCCGAAAATAATGATACTTGAGGGTGTCAAGAAACCTAGGGTCCTGAAGGTCCACGCCTACCAGATAAAAAGTTCAAGTCAACCCTCCGAGTAGGCAGAGCAATGGAGCCAGAGACGCGACTTACCATGTCCGAGACAGGCTGCCTCGATGCATTCGCAGTTATACTGCAATGTTCGGGCCTCTTCTATTTCGGACAGGAGAGGGATTTTGTTGGATAATTCTGACGAAAAGTTGGTATTAGACGAGATAGACTTGGAGCAACTTGACAACCCTGGGAGAAAAGAAGCCACGGTGGACGGGGGATGAGGGTGGCTCACGGTTCTCGTCGGCATACGCGCGCAGTACACGATGCTTATGCCGCAGCATTTCAAGCTCGACCTTGATGTTGGGGCCATATTTCTGAGGAAGCAGGACAGCTAGTTTGGCCTGAATTTCGGCCTGCTGATCCAACAGGTGCTTGATGGTGGGATCCAACGACGGATCATACTGAGGCGCTGGATGAGGAGAGTGATGGGGGGCACCTCCAGCTCCAACAGGTGCGGCCAGAACAGACGACGGCGGTGGTGGTACTGAGAGCGAGTTGCGCTCGGGCCGAGACGAAGATGCCGGCAGCGGCAGCGGCGCGATATTGTCGGCGGCCATAGCGTCGGGCCCCCTCGGCGGCGGCGTCGGGGAAGGCTAGGCGTTGGACACGGGCGCAGCCACGGCACGGCAGTTGATGCCGAAGCGAGGCTCTCTGCTCTGTGCTCTTTGACAAACTGTGCTTAGGTTGTTCACACACAACACCGAGCCCGAGGCCGGAAAATGCTCTCGGCGACCGTGTCGCGGAGGCGGAGGCGGTGGTGGCGGCACCAGCAGCAGCGGGTGTTTATTCATCCACAGACCAGCTCCGATCAAGGCTCTTGGTGCGTCAATGACAAAGGTTCTGGCGGGCCGGTTTGCGCAACATGGTAGGACGGTTGTGGCGGCGATTCAACGGCGCTGAGATGCATCACAAGGCCATAGTGCGCGCGGGCACGGTGGAAGGTGAAATTAGCTCAGGGCAGGGCAGGGCAGGGCGAGGTGAAGCTGTGACTCTGTGAGAGAGAGGCAGGGGCCTGGCAGCCTGATGGGGGATAGGTATCCGGAGAACTGGAAGACAGACGGGCTCGGGCTCGGACTCGGAGCTGTCAATGTCTGTCAAACGGAACCCAGGTAGAAGCTGTCAAGGACAGCCCAACGACCGAGTCGTTTTTTTTTTGGCGATGGATACGTGCTGCTCCTCACTTGGGGTATTATTAAACCATAGTCAAAGGGTCAATTGGGGAAGTGGGGCGCAACATGGTCAAGTTGTTTTCCCTGTCGTCCAGGGACCTCTGCTTCTGCTACAGAAGGGCGAGGCGGCAGATTAGATAGCTTCCTTGCTAGCTGCCCTTTCTAGTCCCCAGTGCTAGCCAAGCCTTCCCATGCCGGCCACCGCCTTGTGTTTCTGCTCCATCACCTAAGAATCTCTCTCTCACTCTCTCTCTCTCTCTCTCACACTCTCTCTCTCTCTCTCTCCTTCCTCTGATTCCTTTATCAACTGCACCTCTTGCTGCACCTGCTGCCCTTTGTGTAGCCCATCCCGTCTCCAGCTCACCCACACACTTACAACTGTCCAAGCATAACGCACGATTTCGTCTCGCAGCCCGCCCTCTCCGCACGAGGGGAACTCTGAGACTGGACGCCTCAACGCCCCGCCAGGGTAAGCTAGGGCTCGAGCTCTCGGTGCTTTTCCGGGGTTGGAATAGCCTGGATGCGATGCAGAGCCGGGGTCCAGAAGACCGTTGGAACATGAGGTGACCTGTGTGACGGAATTTCCAGTTCACCTCCTTCTTGTCTTCCAGGTTCTAGTTTCTTTTCTTAGGCCTCCCCCCCGCGCGCCGTTGCATTTATCTCCATCCTACCCGCGAATCCCAGGCTGGATGGACGGACTATCAGATCAGACCTGCTTGAGACACCCGTCATCATTGGCAACAGACAAGACGGTGTATGCAAGGCTCTCTCTCGAGTGAGGTCTCGAAGCGATGTCGCGGCACGTCTGGCTGGTCCGGCGGGAGGAGCAGGAGAGAGGTAGGTCAGGTACTCTATATGTCACGCACTCCGCGCCGCGGTACATGGCATGTAATCCCATGTAGGGTGTATGTGCTAACCAATCTAGAAGCCGAACGGCATCCTGTGGCCGCGATGCAGGTGGTATCTTTTGCCGACATGAGAATACAACCTCGATGCCCGCCCGTCCACTTGCTGCTCTCAGGAAGGCTTGCATGCCAGCCCCTTCGTGCAGACTGGGGTTGCTACGATGACAGTCATATCGCGCGATAGCAACTGCCAGCACCTACTCCGCATCTCCAGGCAATAGTCTCCCAGCATACAGGCAACGTTAAAGTCAACCTTCGTTCGTCCAGGCCACGGGTCCCCAGTTTCTTGACTCAGGTTGACATTGGCCAATGCATCTTGGCCAGTGCTTATTGCGCCATCATGTTGCTTGCATCATGGGAATCCTGGTGCCGGCCCCCAGGCCCGCATTTCTCCCCTCAGCAACATCCGCTCTGCTGCTTGTTTTCGCTCCGAGAGCCGCAGCGCCTGGTCTATGGGCTCCACGTTTTTCAACGGCGTGACATCGGGTGGGTGCTGCGAGGGGAGAGTCGCTGGTCCCCGTGCCATCCGCCTGGCGTTTGCAGCTCTTGCAGCGCTGAGAGGTCCGTCCCACGAACCGGCTGTCACCAACGCTTTTCCCGCAACCCAGATCCACTTTATTTCTTGAAGAATCAGGGTGTTCGACCCTCGCTTCCAGATTCAATCCCGTTCATCAACCTTGACGTCGTCGCCGGCAACACCCGGTTCTCCAGCATGTCATCCTGCCAAACTCTGCCAGGTACCGGCCGATGGCAGGTAACTGACGAAGAGTGAGGCGGGGGGGGTAAGGACCTAGTCCGTATCGCGGTGTCTCTCTTTCGTTGGAGTGACTGGACAATGGTCTGGTCAATTTATGTGATGGGAAACTTGCAGCGTGCTTGAGCAGTGTAACGCATGGCACCGGCACCGGCACCGGCACCGTCAGTGCAGAGCATGGCTCACGAGTGGAATGGGAAGAGGCAGTCGAGACATCACCTCCTATCGAGGCTTGCGCAGCATTGATCGGAGCTTCACCGTCCCTCTACCTGATACTGGCAGACCGGACAGCCGACAAAGAGGCGGCTGCTCCGATGTTCCGAGTTGGAAAGGACCCCCTAGAAGTCACTGGATTGTGTGCGTTGCAGCAGCACATGGGCCCTCCTCGATGAGAGGCTCGCCGAATCGCTGCTATCTACCACCCTCCACCACAAACCAAGGAGTTGAAGCCCCTTATCATTCAATGGTGCAAGCCCCCCGCCTCAGTGCTCTAGCCGCCCGCTCATGGCCGCTCACACCCCCTTGCTCTTATTGCCCAAGCCACAAACCAGTCGTCACCAGTTGTGCTTCTGTGGCACAAGCTTTCCCCTCACCCCTCTTTCCCCTCCTCAGTCAGGCCTCCCAAGCTTCCAGTGCACAGCCTGTCCGTTTTGGGGATAGAACCATCCGCCTGTCTTTCAGCTTTCCCCAGCTGGGTCGCCCTATGCCCCCTCGTAGAACTCTTGCCAAGCATCCGACCTTTGATCATAGTTCACGCGCGCCTGGGCCGGTAATGACGAGCCCGATGGCTGGTACCTTCTACAGTGGCTGGTGTGTTGGGAGATGACGGTCCTGTAGCAGCCGAACAGCCCCTTTCCCCCGTAATGGGAAGCGATGGCGTCGTCGACGAGGCATTCGAAGCCCGTGCCACCACCATCAGACTGGTTTGTATGAGCCTGAGGACGCGCTGGAGGGCAATAGCCCCTGGCCGACGTTCAGGAAAGCTACCAGGCCATTCCCTTTTGGCGTCAGGCTGGCGGTGTGTCCGTAATTGCTATGGTTGCGGGTTGACGTAGTAGCAGTGAGCAAGTTGCTGATGATGCAGAATAAAAGAATGTGCTTCCCCTTCGCCTTCACCTCTGTTCATTACATTCGTTCTTCACATTATCGTCACATCAGCATTCAACCAATTTATGGTTTACATCAATACTTACCACCCACCATGGACACCTTCCCATTTCTCCTCTGGCTTCCAGCCAGCCCCCTCAGCCTCGCCCTCCTCGTCCTGGTAGCCATTCTTGTCAGCATCCTGGTTACCTTTTACACCACCAAGCAACACTACCAGAACTCGACATTGATCACCACCACTACTGCCACCAGACAACAGACCCCAAAGGATCACCAGCCGCAACTCCCTGCTGCCATCCCCGAGACAAGACAACAACTCGTCCAGGAGTCACTACTCCCCGCCGAGCAGCCCAGAGCAGCAGTTCAGGAACAGCCCACGGCAACGCAGCCGATCCCAATCCCCATCCCGACATCACCAGTAGGCTGGCGCAACTCCTTCGGTTCTGCCGTGATGCACCCCTCCAAGAGGGATTCGCTCGTGAGCTCGGTCGGCGCAAGAAAGGGGAGCTACTGCGCTAGGTGCTCCTCCTGGCCGGTGTCGGATTGGGACGGCAGCGGCAGCGGTTCCGAGGGGGAGGTGGTGGGGGGGAGTTTTGGGAGGGAGGTGACGTTTGGGTTTATGGGGGCTCATCTTTGAGGTGAGGTGAGGTGAGGTGAGATGAGGTGGTGAAGGGGGGGAAGGAAGGGGAAGAAGGGAGGGAGCGATGGGGAAGAAAAGAGGCAGAGGGAAGGCGAAGGGGAGAGAAAAAGTAAAACATCAAAAAAAAATTTGAAAAAGATACAAGGACAAAAAAAGGGTCGATGGGTCCAAAAAAAAGAATAAAAAAAGAAAAAAAAAATTAAAAAAAATAAAAAAAAAGAAAAAAAAAAGAAAGAGAATAAAAACTGAAACAAAAGGAAGGAAAAGGGGGAAGGGAAATACACGCAACAAGGGGGGGGGGGGGGGGGGTCGGAAGCTTGGATGGTGGGATGTATAAGGGGTTGGGGAACTAGAAGGAGGAAAATAGAAAGGCAAACTGGGAGGGAAGGTGGTGAATATCACAACGCGTTTGCGAAGGGAGGATAGATCATTGCTCTCTTGTTTGGTACAAAGGAGGACGGGGAAAAGTTTGGGTTTTGGCTTCTCTTGATAGATTTGGGTTTTTCTTTCTGGTCGGATTTCTATGGCGGGGGATGGGGCAATGATGATGGGCCTGGTGATGAGCTGTCATGAGGAATGGTGATGAGCCAGGCATTTTTTATCTGGTTTCGAGCGAGCATACTCAATTGGCCTCCAACACTGAACCAAGACGGATCGCTGTTAGGATGTGTATTTACGTTATAGAGAGAGAGAGCATCATGACATCAAAGTCTGTCGATGAGAGTGTAAGGGAATGTGATGTGACCACCGGATTCTAGTGGATGGTTTGACCATCATATCTAGCATGACACATCCATGAAGGCGGACACACGGAACACACGGAACACATGACCGGTGGCAACAGCAGTGCAGATGAATAAATCGCCCCCAATATTATTATATAATTCTCATCATCATCATCCCCGAACAATATGTGTAGCAGGTATATATATATGTATGTACATCTGAACAAAGTAAAATCCTCGTCTGTGACCGACGATAATATGTCCACGATGATGTCCAATCATCACTTTCGTCCCTTCATGAACCCAACCCGTCCAACTCCACCCATCATCACATCATGCACTCAATACAAGCTCTCGGTATCCAAGCAAATTCTGATGCTCCCACTCCGATCCAACTCATTCAACTCATCGGCAAATTCCACCTTGGGCTTAGGAACCGGCTTCCTCGCATACCCCTTCAAACACCTAAACAAACTCCCCTTCGCCCTCCCCTCCTCAACAACAGCGCTAACATCAGCAATCATCTTCCCCGCCTCCTTCATCGCCTTCCCAGGCGTAACCGTATCCGCCAACCTCAACTCCCCCGCCGCCCTCTCCATCTCCGCCCTCAACAGCCACTTCTCCCAACTCCAGCCCGCAACCAACCCCGTAACAGCAGCAATATTGTCGCTCGACCCGCTCACCACCGCCTCCATCCGAAGAACCTCCCTCTCCTCCCCGCCCGCCTCATCCCGACCGACACTCACCACCGGCTTGGGCAGCTTCTTGGGTCCCACAGGCATAGCAACCCACGCCCTCCTCACATCCTCGAAACCGGCCTTGTCAAGCCTCGAGATGAAGTTCTTTGTCGGGCGGGCGTCATATCCCAGAGTCTGCAGCGCGAACCCAAACTCGACCGCCTTGGCGTTGCCCAACTCTCCCGCGTTGATGATGTCGGCATCCAAGAGGTTGAACTCGATGTAGCCTCCTGGCTTGAGGACGCGCATGCACTCGGCCAGACAGGCGTCCCACTCGTCCACCCCGTTCTCGCCCGCCATCTTCAGCACAGCATGGAGCTCCCGAGCGGAGATGAGATCGAACTGGTTGTCCGCAAAGGGAAGCTTGGTCAACCTCTCCACCGCGACCTGCCTATGGTTGGGAGGGCCACGGATGTTGGAGTTGGACAGTTGACGGATGGCCTTGGTAGTGACAGTATAAATCTTGCAGTTGGTGGAACTGGAGGGCAGCATGCCAGGCCCAGTCGCAGGCGCCCTGGCCGCCGAGATCAAGGATTCTAGCCCGGTCACGGGGGAGGCCATTGCTGCCTGTGCCAGGGGCAAAGGTGGACTGACGAGCGAGGCGCTTGCCGACGGGAGCAGAAACAAGCCTGCCGCCGTTGAGCTGCTTGGTAGCGGCGACGTGCCAAGCGGACATGTGCATCTGGCTGAGGGCGTCAGCTTCCTTGTCGGCGCGGAGCTTCTCAGGGTCGTCAATGAGGTTGTCATCGCCGCGGACAACGTTGGTGCTCATGCGCTTCTTGGCGGACTGAGGAACGACGGAGAGCTGGTACTTTCCGAGGAGCTGGTTGCGGTGGGCATCTCTGAGGGAAATGCGCTGGGCCTGAAGAGCCTCGAAGCGGGGCTGACGGTGGACAAAGGCGTCGGTGTGGCAGGAGCGGACGGTGAAGTCGGTGAAGGCGCGGTAGTAAGCCGACTCCTGACGGAGGAGCTTGGGTGGGAGCTTCTTTGGAGGTTGAGGGAAGTTGTCCAGGGGAAGGGCGGAGAAGCGGACGGACTTGGACTTCTTCAAGGGCACCTCTTCGGTAGCCTCAACCTTGGGCTCCTCGACCTTGTCCTCGGCCTCGGACTCGTGCTCAGAAGCCTCAGATTCTTGCTCCTCGACCTCATCAGAGAAGCCGGCAACACCTTGAAGGTAGGCGCGCTGAGCCATGAGCCACATCTGGGTGCGGCCAGCGTGGGAGACAACATTCTCCTCTTGCTTGGCGACATAGTCACGGTCAAGCTCGGCAATGATCTCAGTAACAACGATTGGTGAGCTGGGCTCGCCAACAGCGGTCTCGGAAGCAGTGGCCTCAGACTGTCTAGGAGTGGGTGGAATTCTAATAGCAGTAAGAGGAACTGGGGTAGGCTCAATGCGAATGGCTGTCGGGAGGTCCTCCTGGCCCTGGGTCTCGGGGAACTCAACAACACGCTCGATGATGGCTGATGGCAGGTTGTCGAGGTGCAGTGGCCTGGGTGGTGGGGGAGGAACTCTGTCGCGGCTCCATGGGATCTTGTAAAAATTCTCAGCGGTTGTAGAAGTAGGGGGTTGGCCCTCATCGGTTTCCTCGGTGTTCTTCTCAGCGTGCCATGTTTGCCGGCTGGCAGACGAGAGCTCAGAAAAGAAGCCACCTGGGGATGGGATCTCGAGCTTGCTGAGATCAGCAAGAGACAGACGGGCAGCTGATGGGGCCCGGTTCAAGTTGGTCATGATGCGGGGAGGCTGTCTGCGGGTTTGAGCCATCTCTTGTGGCACCTCAATAACCTGAGTGGGTTGCTCAGCAAACGCTGATTCGTCACCAGCGAGGGCCTGGAGAGTCTCGAGAGCACCAGGCTGGAGACGAACTCCAGACCACTCCTCATCGGCACCATACTCAGAACCAACCACGGGAGTGGGTGGTGCTGACATGGCGGCCATTTCCTCCGAGTTGATGCTGCCGTCGAGAGATGGTGGGGCTGAGACGCGGGGAGTGTCTTGTGTTTGCCTCAGTTCCATAAGTGACATGATAGCTGGTGACATGGCAACAGCGGATGGCGGTGTTGGTGGGATGGGCGACAAAACCTTCTTCGCGGCTTGCTGGGCTTCCTCTGGGATCACAAGAGGGGTCAATGACCGGCGAAACTCAAGGGAGGCCCTGGATGATCTCTTGAGGTTCCTTGAACTCCTTGAGCTCCGGGTGGAGCTCCGTTGCCGGCCGATACCGTTTGCCTGAAGACGCTGCTTTCGTCGGATCTCGTCATCGGACACATCGTACAGATCATCAAACTCGGTGACATCGGTCATGATACTCTCTCGGTTGTTGCTGTTGTGGTTCCACTGGAAGGATGGGTTTGATGATGAAGCTTCGGAGCTGACGTCGTCATTATCGAGCTCGGGCTCGCTCTCGTTGGTTGCCTGGGAGAGGACTGATGGTGTAGCTGGCAGGATCGGGGCGGCCAGAAAGTGCATTCCTCTTGGTGTGGGGAAGTGGTCGCTCATGGGGGAAAGCCACTGTTCAATCTTCTCAACCGAAGGCCCGTTCCTTCTCCTCCTCGAGGCGAACGAGTCTCTCGAGTGCTCTGGCTCCTCCATTATAGGATTAAGTGTCCGCGCCGGCCTCCGCCGACCCTGCGGGGAGGGTGGCCGGTACGCAACCTGGGGCAGCAAAACTTGGTCGGACATTATGGTAACTGGTATTGTTGGTAGGATCCAATATTCCAAAAAGCGTGGCACAAACACGCAAAATAAACTCTGTCAGGTAAGCCGGAAGACGACCTGCGCCGGAAATGTAACACTAATTAAGAAAGATGGTGTGAAAGACAGGACCGGCTTCGGTCAACGAAGCACTATAATGTAAGTGCGCAAGAGGCGTAGAGAAGAGAATGGGGAAGACTTCAAATTGCCAACGGAGCCTGGTGACTGGAAAGCGAGATATTATAAGAAGCCCTCCACCAAAGAGACACCAACGACATGGGATCGAGATGCATACCCACCGAGGCGGCTAACGGCAAGATTCGATGGCTTCCTTCCCGCCACGTTGATGGGACTGACAGATCGAGTCATCGACATGGTGTGACCGCGGTCAGAGAAGCGCAGATGGCACGCTGAACCGGCATCTCTGACGGCTTCTTGCTGCCGTCTGGCGGGTGTCTCTCGACATTGGCACACTAGTATGCGTCCGGCAGCATCACCAGTGCAATATCGACGGCGGCAGCGAATCAGCGGACGTATGGTCACAGGAACAGGTCGACGACGAATCGATAAATGCTATGCGAAGACAAGGCGCGCGCCAATGAGGTCCTGATGGTGGCAGTTCCAGGAACTGAGTGCAGCTGGTGTAGCCAATAAGAGCGAGAGGTGCAACGCCAGATGTAAGGCGGGCGCTTACAACGGCGCCTGTCCTCCCTCAATTGGTCCCGACAGACTCTTCCCCCAAGATGAACCACCCACCTTTTTCGTCATCCCCACAAAAACCATTCACCACAATACCTTTACCCATGTCGACGAAGCTGCACGCAATGGGCCTTCGCATGATGCTTCGTGGCGGCGTGAAACGGCAAAGACCAACAGTCGTGACCAGGAAACACCACATCCAAGAAACATTTCGTTGAGAGCGCCACTCGGCCGACCTGTCGATCTCCCTCGACATAACGTGATAACCCATGGCCCTCCTCTCCGGTCCGTTGGCGCAGCCGCCCATCTGGTATGCTTGTTGCCGGCCTCTGGTGCTTCTTCAAGGTTGGTAGCACTTGCATATAACCCATCCCGCCAGCCCAACTCAGCTCTGATCACTATCACCATCACTTTCGCTCCAGCTCAGCCAAGCTATCACTACTAGATGCACAATAGCTGTGTGAATGCGGCAATGTAATGCCAACAGTGCCGTGAGCGCCAAGATAGAGAGTGACAGGAAACACCAGATCTTCTGTTCCTGGCTGTCTTACCACACCTCTCCATCTCGACGGAACTTTGGGTGTGTGTTTCCTGTCGGCTGATTGCTTGCATTTCTTCGCAATTGTGAAGATTGCCCAACTGCCAACTCGGCAGATGTGCTGCTACCCCATCCCATATATGCAGCTTATGACCGAAAACCGGAAGCTTCCATATGTGTTGTCAATGATAAGAAAAGGTGAGAATAAGAATAGATACAGCCAGAGAGCCAACCTTGAGAGAACACTTGCGCTCTCACAGACCTGGTGTTCAGATGTTCGGCTGGTGGTACGAAATAGTGGTGAGCGGTGACAGAAATCGTGATGAGTGACGAGTGCCGAGCAGTGGTGATCGAGCGCGACGCTGGTGACATGAGATGAACGAGTGATGCTGACTGCAGAGCTTCGAGTTCATCCAAGGTAGGTGATAGTCGATCCGTGATAATCTCCCTAATCGCTAGCCGGTGTGCCGAGACTCGTGATCATGTCGGAAAGTCAATCAGACATGGAAGGAGCTTCGAAGGCGTACCGAAAAGGGATTGAAGATTGCACAAGAGCACACTGTCGAGATGGAAGCGCCGGCTTGCCGCCATCACTTCGACGAGGCTTGGAGTTCGAGCCGCTGAAAGATAATGCGGGGCTCACATGCAAAACTGTAAAAGATGATTGGTTGAATTCTGCCACAGATCAACTGCCAGAGAGCTCTGTCTCCGCCTTCCCCTTCCAGCTTCGTTGCTTTTGTTCCTGTCGCAGTGCCACCCCGCCATCAAAGTCAGCCCCGCAGTCCAATTCCTAGGAGGGGCAGTCCATTCAGGCGAACATCCAACGATAACAACCTCGCGATTATCATATCAAACCCAACTTCGATTTCTGTACCGGTCAGAACTCCCGAACTGTAATGGCCGAGACCTCTGCTGCCAGCCGGCATGTGACCTACTGTGGTGGTAGGGAACCCCGTTTCTTAGCAATTCTGCCCCTCCATCCTGGAGCTGTCCCTCACAGTGACATCACCTGTTTGTGGCTGTCGCGATGCTCACCACCTCCCCTATTTACCCCTTTTCTCCCGCCGTCGCGAACATAAGCCATAAGACAACCATAGCTAACCTATACTCTCCAGTGTGCACACTACCACCCGAGGTACGAACTGCCTCCCGCTACCCTTCCCCTCCTCCTGCGCATGCCCATCTCTTCCAACACGCAACCCATCACGCGACATCCCTTAAACCCAAACTAACACCCCGTCTCTTAGTACTGCGAATACGGCGGAACAACCGCCAAATGTCAGAAATGGCTCGAAAAGTCCCATCCGGACCTCTACTCCAAGATCTGGTCCCCCGAAGCCCTCTCCGCAGCAACCGCCTCCCTCTCCCTTGAAGCCCAGGAACGCGCCGCCAAAGACGCCAAAAAGAAGGCCGCGAAAGCCGAGGCCGCCGAACAGAAGCAGGCCGAAAAGCTCTCCAACAGCGTCGTCACCATCAAGCGGATCGAGCGCAACAAGCGCAAGTATGTCACCTCTGTCTCTGGGCTGGAGGCTTTTGGGTTGGACTTGAAAAAGGTAATCTTATTACCCCCCCATGATATACGTTTGAAAGCAGGGGGATGTTGACAGTGACAAAAAAAATAGGTGTCCAAGGACTTTGGTAAGAAATTCGCGACCGGCTCGTCCGTCACCAAAACCCCCTCGGGCGGTGAGGAAATCGTAGTCCAGGGCGATGTCAGTGATGAAATTGAGGAGTTCATCCTCGAAAAGTACAAGGATGTGCCCGAGGATAACATTGAGCTGGTAGAAGATAAGAAGAAGAAGGGGGCTGCTGCTGGTTAAACAAGGATAAACATAGAGAGCGTGTTGGGTTCAGTTTCGTAGATAAATCTGGAAAGGATGTTTCTTTTGTGCTTCAAAGAGCCAAATAGTTGTTGGTGCTATAAAAAATAACAAAGACATGCTAGAATGAACCCCTTCTACCGGGTGGAAAAAACTGGATATATATAAAAAAAAACACCACACAAACCCGCCCCTTGATTGCTATATCCTATGGCTCCTTATCCCATATCGAACTGTACTATCCTGTACCGAACGGCCAGCCTAAAACAAAACGCCACGTGCAATGATAATGCCCACCAACCACCCGATTCTCCCAAAGCCCTCAAATAATACCAAATACTAACACAACGTCATCAGAACAGAACACGCCCCTTGATATCTCCCCTACACCTGCGCCCTCTTCCTCAACACCCGTCCCGCTGCACTCCCCGTCGTCCCAACCTTCCCTCCCGCCGCCGCAGCGGCAACGACCTTCTTCCCCGCGCTCGCCCCAACAGTCGCCGCCTTCTTCCCCCCTCCCACCCCAGAAACACCACTCTTGCTCTTCGCGTGCCCACTTCCCCCAGCCATCGCCTTCGTGATCGGGGGCCTCTCCCCCGGCGCCGTCGCCGGCCGCTTCTTAATCACCGTTCCCGTGCTCGCCTCGCTAGACTCCGAAGTGCCACTAACCCTTCGTTGTTGCTGCCCAGTCCGGTTGGCACCGATTGTTCTTACCGCTTGCGGGGTAGGCGCAGCAGCTGTCAAGGCGCGTTTTCTCTTCACTGCGGAGGAAGAGGCTGTGGTGGAGGTGGATGATGAAAAGTTCATTTTTCTGACCGAAGCCGATGTTCCAGGGCGGGAGACCGACGGCGGGGGACGGGAGATGGTATTGTGTAAAGAGTGGGAGGTTGACGTGGTGCCTTTGGTCGGGGAGACATTTCCCGTTGGGCGGGCGATTCCCGAGCGGATGGTGTTGCCTGGTGTAGTCGTGGGGTTGCATCTACCGACCGTCCGGGTGTTTGAGGAGGTGGGGGAGAGGACGTTGTTGTTGTTTTGGCTTCGTGGTGGAGGAGGTTGCGCCTGGGATGACGATGGCGGCGGCAATTGCTCGGCTCTGGGACGCTTCTTCGGGTTAGCGAGCGCGTCGTTTTCGTTTTCCTTGTCGCCGCCGGTCATCTCGTGGCTGCGGCGCTTGGGCGGGGCACCTGCTGCTGCGGATGGGTAGGTCACGCCTCCTGCTCGGGGAGGGTAGACCTTGGAAGGGTTGGAGTCCTTTTCTGGTACGGGGGGTCCTTTGAGGTAGCCGGCTACGGGGGGTCGTTGTTGGTTGGAGTACTTGTCAAGCAAGTCGCCCATCTTCATTTTTCGGAGGGACATTGGGATGCGGTTGACGCGTATTTCAATTCGTGTCCGAAGACTTTGCGCGTGGATGCTGTAGTTTGTTCGGAGTTTGCGGGCTCGTTCGGTAACTGAGGGGGGTGTTAATTATGTTTGTCGCGTCAAGTAACAGTGGGATACATACTCTCGAGTTGAAGGTTCTCCATGAGAGCCTGCTTCTGCGTGGCTGTGACACCTCTTTTCCTCATCTTGATCGGACTCCTTTGACCGTCTAGGGCCGTTTCTGTCGGCACCATGGCCATTTCGTTGTCGCTCGACATTGGTTCTGTGATTTTATCGGAGTGGAAGAAATTACGGCGCAATAGGTTGATGAACGCGGTTGTATGGGATAGATCAAGTATTTCGTCCGTAGAATATTTGAATTGTAGAAGTCCTGTGCCAAATTCTGGTCAAAACAAGATTCGTAAGGGGCGAGTTGAGTGAACAGTCGAAATGTGGGAAGGGCTACCCGCGATCTTTGACGTGAGTGGCCCGCGTTTGCAAAGTAAACAAATGCCAGAGCTCGGTGTTCGGGGGCGCACGGTTGCCTGTGGGGCTTGAATTTTGGTGGGGTCAGCCAGGCGCAAACCCCAGGTGGTACCGCTACCTGCTGATAGCGGCACAGTGTGAGGCCTTATCGGTGACGCTACCTTGAGGCTTTGGACCAGGGTTGGGTGTCGGCGCGACGGTCTCCAGGCTGAACCGCCTTACGCAGGCGGGAGCTCTGTTACCTCAGCACATTGACTTCCAGTTGCTTTTCGAAGCTTCAACTTCAAAGCACCCGACAATTCCACAGCCCATCTCCCTTTGTCAGTGTTTTACTGATAAACTACGGCCAATCCAATTTTGCTTCTCCTTATTCAGACAACACCCCAACCCAACTGCCCAACATGGTGCTCGAGGCGGTCATGATCGTGGTGGACAACAGCGAGAGCAGCAGGAACGGCGACTACACACCAACCCGGTTCGAGGCGCAATGCGATGCCATTAACATCCTCTTCCAGAACGTCATCCAGGGCAACCCCGAGTCGTCGGTCGGTCTTATGAGCATGGGCGGCAAGGGCCCTGAGGTTCTGGCGACTCTTACGGTAGATCAAGGCAAGATCCTCGAAGGCTTGCATCGGACGAAAAAGAACATCCGTGGATCCGCTCATCTTGCGACTGGTATTCAAGTAGCACATGTGAGTTGCTGCGCAGTGAGGATCAACTTCTCATAATACTGACCGATGGTGTCTTCTGTAGCTCGCCCTCAAGCACCGACAAAACAAATCCCAGCGGGCGCGCATCGTCGTGTTTGTCTGCTCCCCCATCGAAGACATCGAGAGCGACCTGGTCAAGCTCGCCAAGAAGATGAAGAAGGCCAACACGAGTGTCGACTTTGTGCTGTTTGGCGATATAGATGAGGAGAATCACAAGAAGCTCACGGCGTTCAACGAAATAGTCAAGGGCAGTGGCCAGGGCTCGCATCTGGAGGTTATTCCCCCCAGTTCCAAGCTGCTCAGCGATCAGCTTCTCGCCACACCCATTTTGCTTGGAGAGAATGCCGGTCAAGGCGGTGCCGGCGGTGGTGGCAGTGCTGCCGAGGAATTCGAGTTCGGCGTCGACCCGTCCGCCGACCCAGAGTTGGCGCTGGCTCTGCGTATGAGTATGGAAGAGGAAAAGGCCCGGCAGGAGAGGGCAGCTCGTGCCGAGGCGGAGGCTGCTGGTCAGAACACGTTGGAGACTGTCAAGGAAGAGAACGAGTCAACACCTCTGCTGGGCAAAGACGGAGAGCCTAGTGGCAACAAGAAGGATGATGATAAGATGGACACCTCTTAGTAACAGGGCACCAATGGCTTCGAATCGCGCTCAGAATGTGTGATGGCACACGATATCAACTCTTCCCAAAGAATCAGCGGTTATGCCCCCAGCGGAAGGGCTTCTTCTTGTAAAATAGATCTGTTTTGTCATTAAACGGCGGAGTAATTCCCCTAATCGCACTGTGGATCTCATAATGTTTCCCATGAACGCCTGATAACTCCTCATGCTTGAATCCGACACTTGACAGACCAACACCAGCCCCTGACCAGCAGACACTGTCTACCTGTTGTTGATCTCCCTAATATACGACAACAACTTCCTGTCAAACATGTCGCAGCGCACCGGCATTTCCAACTGGTAGAATGGGTTCTTCATGACATAGTCTGTGTACATCTCGTAGACCCGCCGCATGGTCAAGTCGACGTTTGTTTGTGTTGTGTCGGTGAAGAGGAGGAACTTGATGCCTGTCAGAGTAGTGAAGCATTGCAGCCGAAAGTTTTCTGACTCTAGGACTTCCAATCCGGATGGTGGTTCCGGCCGGGTCATGGTGCCAGCTGATGAGGCCGAGTTGCGGTTCGCTCCTGGGGTGGGGATGGGGCTGAGGCGGGCTGTAATGGCGTGGACACTTGAAGTGATGGGTGTCAGTAAGGACAAAGTGAGGAGTGGCGGCCTCATACCCATGGAAAGTCCCAGCGAGGACGAGATAGTCGTTGGTGCTGATTTTGTTTAGGCCCCCTTCGTGGAAGGTTCGGTTGTAAATGAGACCGCCGGCCTTGTTGATGATGATGAGTGCGAAGACGGTCCTGGGGAATGTAATGTTAGTATGGCGACAGTAGTGAATAGGGGGGTGGGTTATGAGAGACACACATGGCGGCAGGCTCATTTCAGTACTACGGAAAGCATGAAATTAAAGGGCTACAGAGAGTCTGTGTATTTGTAGCTAAGTTTGTAGCTCTGTAAAAGTGGTGCTGATGAAATGTGATTGTTTTTTGCTGTGTTGAGGTGACCGTTCTGCTTGACAATGTTTGATGAAGTGAGTGGTGAATGATGAGCTGTGAGCTCCTGTTGCGGTTGGTAGCCGCAGCCAAGCATTGTGGGGCTTGTGATTGGAGATGGGTTAGGGTTGAACAGGCCGTTCTGCCGTTTCACTACCATATGTTCCATGGTTCACTTACAGAGTGCTCAAGACTGCTCCTAATTGTATCCAAGGTAAGTTATCTTACCTGACATCACATTCTGTGCGCGGCATATGTTTACGATATATGCCCTCAGTAAACTGCTGTGACATGAAAAGAAGAACTCAGGTACCTCACATTTCGGGGGATAGGACGGCAACCCATCTCCAACCTACAGGGAGGTAAAAGGTATGACTTGACATGTACTGGTAACACTCCAAGTATAATTGCCAGTTGTTAAGTCAACCATTGTGGGGAGGCGTAGTTGAGGTGGCTACAAACTAGTACTTCTCTTAGTGGTGCCAGTTGCCTGCCAGAGCATGCTTATGACCCTCATTTTCCACGGTCATATCATATCAGAAATTCACATGCCATGTGTCACTTGCATCTGCGAACAAGACCAAACCCGGGCTTCGGATTCTCATCCCCCGCCTGAACGGACTTGATAGAAAGCCGAAAACACACTGAAACATGCGAGACGAGACCCGCCGGAATGCTCCCGTATCAAGCCACTTACACCATCAATCCATATTCCCGGGCAAAGAAGCAGATATCGAACTTTGAACTACCGGCCGAAGATCTGGGCATGCAGGTTCAACAATCTCAAGCATTCTTCCCAGCTGCACCCCACCACCACAATACGACTTGCAGAGGGACCTCAGTGGGAGACTTCAGCCAGGGAAGCCAGCAAAGATCCCGGCTCGGCAAATGGCAAGCCACACTGAAATCTCAGGGCACTTGCCCGTCAGGCTTCCGCCCAATCCTAACATGGATCATGGCGGGCGGTGGGTATCGCGGAACATCTCCACCGTGCTTCTGGAGGCTTGTCGCCTTGTCTTGTGGCCACATGGAAGTTCGAAAACCAGAGTAACGTAGCCCTGGGTTTCTGCAACGACGAGATATTTAAGCAACGGCTGCACGGGCGACTCTGCGAAAATGCTGGCCACTTAGGGGAGGGATTGGCGTTTTTAATGCTGGTGCTACCGCCGCCGCAGAAACCCGAAGTAGTTCATGCCAGTTTGTTTCCTCTGAACCTGAACCACAACATCGTGTCAGCACACAACTGGCCGTCCACCGTCCACCGTCCACCCTCTCGAGAACAACAACTCTCCACTCGCTGCCGTTGACACACTCGCTTTTTTCTCTGCCTGCCCCGCCATCACTTGCCCTCGCCCACCCGTCAGCAGCCGACAAGGCAACATCCAAACCAGCACTCGTGCACTTGTGCGAGGGCCGCCGTTTCAGCAGAGTCTCTTCTTGCATCGCTACAGCCTATCCGCATTGCTGGGCAAGGCCGAGTCAGCCCCCTATTCTCCGTTAACAATATTCCCGAACCTGTATGCGCTCGTCGTAACGGCCCCCGCGCCGCCCACAACCCCTGGCCATGGCCGCCCGTCGTCGCCCGGCGCCGCATAAACTGCAGCAAACGCCTTCGAACAACAAAGATCGCGGCGACAAGGGCTTCAGTTTGCCGGCACCGTCGCCCCGCGTTATCAACGCCGCTCCGTCCCTCGAGAAGGCCGAGATGTATGGCATCGATGACAACCGTCCGGTCTTCAGTCGCGCCATGGCGCTCGCAGGGCGCATGTTTATCGAGACCATCCCGCAATGGCTGGCCGTTGGAGCTATGCTGTCGCTGATTTTTGGCGGCTGCTGCTCCAATGTCTTTGCGCTCGAGTCAATTATCAAGGTGGAACCTGACAGTGGTATGTTTCACTTTCTGATGGGCAATTGGGCGACGGCACTAACACAGTTGCGCTGCGGCCAGGTTTCTTGTTGACTTTTGTGCAATTCATCTTTGTCGCCATCACCAGTCTCCCCTCCCAACTCGACAGCAGACGCCCACCGTTCTACCTCAAATCCAACAGAGTCCCAATTCGCCGCTGGCTCGTCAACATTGTACTGTTCTTCGCCATCAATGTTCTCAACAACCACGCCTTTAGCTATGACATTTCTGTACCGGTGCACATCATCTTGCGCTCTGGAGGCAGCATCACCACCATGCTGGCTGGGAGCTTGTACGGCAAGAGATATTCTCGGATCCAGGTGACAGCTGTGCTCTTGCTTACTGTGGGAGTGATCACTGCCGCCTGGTCTGATTCACAGACCAAGGTGTGTCGGGACGGTTTATCGGGGTCCTATGGACATGAACATGAAGCTAATGTGTGATGTAGGGAACTACGAGTAGTGGATCTGCCGGGACTACGAGCTTTGTAACTGGCCTCACAATCCTGTTCGTCGCGCAGGTCCTCTCTGCTATCATGGGCCTCTACACCGAAGAGACATACCGCATGTACGGCCCGCAGTGGAAGGAGAACATGTTCTACTCGCATCTTCTCTCGATCCCCTTGTTCCTGCCATTCTTGCCGTCTTTGAGTAGACAGTTCATGAAGCTTGCCAACAGCCCTCCGCTGTCGCTTCCAATCCCCCCGCCGGAGGACTATCCTAACTTTTCACCCAGCCTGCAACGGCTTGTCGAGAAGATACACATGCCCAGCCAACTGTTCTACCTCACGCTCAACGTCTTGACGCAGTATGCCTGCATTCGGGGCGTCAACCTCTTGGCTGCAGCTAGCTCGGCTCTGACAGTGACAATTGTTCTCAACATTCGCAAGTTGATCAGTCTGTTGTTGAGTATATGGCTCTTTGGAAACCGGCTGGCGTTTGGAACGCTGATAGGAGCCTGTATTGTATTTTTCGCAGGAGGACTGTACTCTTTGGACGGAAAGCGGAAGCCGCCTAGCAGGAGGGGCACCGCGCCGACCAAATCTTGAGGAGCTGCTTTGCGAGCAAGCCCCAGTTGTAGATATTACCTGATACAAACATGGTAGGCCCCATATAGGGCCGAGATTTCCACTTGTTCACCTTCCCAGTTGGGCGCAACAGCGACCACTTAGCATTCTTGGTTGGATGCCATGTGACTGATACCGAGAAACAACATTGTTTCGGGCCGGTGCTTGTGAGCATGAGTCCGCCCGGAAGGCGCCGTGCCCCCTTCTCCCAGTGGGACCCTGAACGTTCCAATCCAGGGGTTCCCGCGGCGGCTGGGGTCGGTATGCATGCTTGCTAAGCCGCTAGAACAAAGAGCTTCTTAGCTGAGCTTGGCAGGCGATTAGCGCCTCGCCCTGGTACGTCATGCCTTGCCTTATCGCTAAAACGATAGGTGAAAAGTGTCAGAGCCCAAGAAGGGAGAGGCCTTCGTTGAGGGGGCGGTGACTCAACCAAGACAATGGTCCTGATGGGCGCCTGTATATATTATCCAACCAACAGCTGGAGCTGAGCATTCAAGAAGCTGTTTTGGATTTGGAAAAACGGCCACTCAAAAGTCAGTCAAGAGTGTGCGATATCTAATTATTTTTGTGCTTTCTACCCCTCCTTTTTGCCCACGATCAGCCTCAACGATGTGCCGTAAGTTTGTCTCTACATTTGCTACCTAGGAATGCTTCTTACCACGCCTCGCTGTTGCTCTGGGCTCTGTCAATCCTGCGTTTGCCCACCGCTCAAAATGTCAACTTGAGTGTGACCTGTCTACGCGCGTGGAACAGCCGGTTAATGCAGTGAACAGAACACTCATTCTCGCATGACCCGTCGTCAAACTCGACGTCGCCCAGGTTTGCGGCAACACAAATGCCGACCAACGATTCGGACGACGAGGAGTACACCCGGCACGGGCAGAGTGACACGGAATCCGACGGTTTGCTCGAACAACACGAACATGGCCGCTCTCACGGGGCACCCGATTCACTTGCCCAAAGTCCTGGTTCGGATGGCCACGTCCGCAGGGCGGATGATGCAGAGCTCGAGGAGGGCATGCTTCCCCGAGACATGCCCCATAAGACCGCCTTTTTCGACCTCGTTGCCGAACGCCAAATGACCCAGTCAGAGGCCAAACTGTTCTACCAGCGAAGCCAGACGGACAGCCGCACCATGCAGACGCAAACACAGACCCAGTTCTCGCCTCAGGGAAGCCCATTGCTTTCTTCGGGGACGTCTAACACCTTGGGCAATATCGATACCGCGCTGGGCCAGAACCCCGCGCACAACGCCAGCGGGATCAGGCTTTCAGACCTCGACCCGGCGATCCTGCCCGAATCTGGATATGAGCCTCCCCTCAGCGCAGCGAGGCGCGATCCGAGTCACTTTGGCTTGAGCAGCCTTCCAAGCCGCGGTAGCTTCACCAATCTCAACAGCGCCGCGGGCGCTCCCGGGAATCAAATCGACCCAGCGGTTCAGCAGCAGATGCTCCTTAACACGGGCGCTGTTGCGGGTATCGGAAGCAGCACCTACATGGACGCGGACCCTCAGATCACAGCGGAATTGAGCACCATATTCCAAAGGATCCAGAACATTTTGAATATTCGTCACAGATACATCAGCCTATCTAATCAAGGCCCCGAGGACAATCCCAAAGATGAGCCTAGTTGGCCCATCTACCCGCCGCCCCCAGAGCCAGCGTGGAGCGAGGAGAGAGACAAGGCTGGCCGGAGCACAAAGGCTCAGAACAGCGCCTACAACAGCATGGCTAATAGCATGGTTCTGAGCATGGACAAAGATAAGCAGCGTTCCAGCGACCAATCTTTCGATATTCCCGACACTCCCCAAAAGCCATATAGGAGTAAGCGGAAGCCCGGGCAGGATATTGGCGAGGATTTCGACATGGATGACTTGCTACCCCTCCCGGGTCCGAGCGAGATGACATACCGACTTGATGACAACGGCGTCTACCAGGTGTATGAGACCGAGGAGGCGAGCAAAACAAATTCGCCTGTCATCAAGGTGCCTACCATCAAAGAGTACTACCTTGATCTCGACGAGATTTCGAGCGTGTCATCGGACGGACCCAGCAAGAGCTTTGCCTTCCGGCGGTTGCAGTATCTGGAGGGCAAGTTCAACCTCTACCAGCTGTTGAACGAGTACCAGGAGACCGCCGACAGCAAAAAGGTGCCTCACCGTGACTTTTACAACGTCAGAAAGGTGGACACGCACGTTCACCACTCTGCTTGTATGAACCAGAAGCATCTGCTGCGGTTCATCAAGAGCAAAATGAAGAAGTTTCCGGACGAGATCGTTTTGTACAGAGATGGCAAGCATTTGACACTGGCGGAGGTGTTTGAAAGTATCAACCTCACGGCCTATGATTTGAGTATCGACACGCTGGACATGCACGCCCACAAGGACTCCTTCCACCGGTTCGACAAGTTCAACCTCAAGTACAACCCTATTGGTGAATCTCGACTGCGTACCATTTTCTTGAAGACGGACAACTTTATCAATGGTCGTTACCTGGCTGAGATCACCAAAGAGGTCATCTCCGATTTGGAGTCGAGCAAGTACCAGATGGTGGAATGGCGCATTTCCATCTACGGACGGTCGCTTGACGAGTGGGACAAACTTGCGGCTTGGGTTATTGACAACAAGCTCTTCTCTCACAATGTCCGGTGGCTCATTCAGATCCCTCGCCTGTATGATGTGTACAAGGCTAGCGATTTGATGGGTAATTTCGAACAAGTGGTTGTGAATATCTTCCGGCCTCTGTTTGAAGTCACAAAAGACCCAAATAGTCACCCCAAACTCCACGTCTTCCTGCAAAGAGTCATTGGATTCGATAGTGTCGATGACGAAAGCAAGGTCGAGAGGAGGTTATTCAAGAAGTTTCCAGTCCCTCGGGTGTGGGATAGCAAGCAGAATCCTCCTTACAGCTACTGGATCTACTATCTGTTCGCCAACATGACCTCGCTGAACGTCTGGCGCAAGAGGCGGGGCTTCAACACCTTTGTTCTCCGACCGCACTGCGGGGAAGCAGGTGACAGCGAGCATCTTGCTGCCGCTGCCCTCTGTTGCCACAGCATCAGTCACGGACTGCTTCTCCGGAAGGTTCCCTTGCTGCAGTACATTTTCTATCTCGAACAGATCGGCATCGCCATGTCGCCCCTCAGCAACAACGCCTTGTTCTTGGCCTACGAAAGGAACCCCTTCTACCAGTACTTCAAACGTGGATTGAACGTGTCGTTGTCAACCGACGACCCGCTTCAGTTTGCCTTTACCAAGGAACCGTTGATTGAGGAGTACGCTGTCGCGGCGCAGATTTACAAGCTGAGCCCGGTCGATATGTGCGAGCTGGCTAAGAACTCTGTCAAGCAGAGCGGCTACGAGTACTCGGTGAAGCAGCAGTGGTTAGGGCCCAACTTCAACATTCCGGGTGCTGGGGGCAACATGGTGAAGACCAACGTACCTGATAGAAGAGAGGAGTTCCGGTACCGCACTTTAATGGAGGAGCGCAGAATGTGAGTTTTGTGCCTTGTTTGGATGCTCAAAGTTTGTGTCAAGACTGACCTGTTGCTGTCAGGGTGGAGAGATACACATCGATCGCTGAAAATGCGGCTGCTGTGGATGCCGCCGCGCAGAGCGTGGCGTCCCTTGCAATGTCCTCCAAGAATACTGCCACGGCGGATTCCAAGCAACAGAGCCATGCGCCATCTCCCGCCTCGCAAGTTCAGGGCTCGAACATTATTGGCAAGTCCGCCAGGGTTGAGACCGGTAGCCCGGCAGTTAGCGCACAATCCCAGGTCTTTTCAAGCCCAGTAACGGCTTCCCCATTGACGGTTTCCGGCTCGGAGGAACACATTTCAGGCCATGAGCCGAGATACTTCCCGGGAGTTGTTTCGCGGAGGCAGCGGGATAGCACAAGGCAGAGCTCGATGCATGAGAGTGACGACGCTGCGCTGCGGAAAGTGTCTTCTAAGAGAGATGCTTCCAAGGAGGGGCGCGGTAACTAGGGAAATTTTCGAGCTTGGCTTCGGGAACCATATGGATAAATATTAAGAAAGGTCTGGATAGATAGAGAATTTGATGAATTCCAAAGCAACGGTCCCATCATGTTTGGACCGTGTTTACATCGTCCGTGTTCAGGGGCGACCGTTTACCCCCTTTTTCCGAAGGGTTCCAGACCCGTGGAAGAGCACGTGGCGCTCCGTTTAAATGCCCCCACCCACTTTCAGCAGACAGGATCGACGCCAGCTGCCAGGCAGGGACTGACAGTGCGTAACCTAAGGCTGACTGCCAGGTTGTACAGAGACAGGAAAGAGAAGGCTGCCCGGGCGGACTCCTGCACATGTATGTGTTAATTGAATTCTACTATGAGACGTCGGCCTTCCACTCGTCCTAGACAAACCTAGACCATGTGCATATCTATCTACAGAATTGCGTTTTTAACGTTGCGCCTTCTTGCAGGCACATCTTCAACTCCTGTCCAGCCTAGCCTTTGAAACATATTGGGAATAGCCCGGCCAATTTCCCCCGGTCCGCCGAGCGATAGCTTCTGGGTCCCCATTCATTCAATCATCTCTCGACCACCTCCTTTTGCATGTTATTATTTTCCTAACCAACTTATCCGACTTTTTTTTGATTATCCCAGGACGACAAGAGGGAGAGAGTGAGGGAGAGAGGTTTGGACGAAGAAGAAGCACCACCACCGGCGGAAGAGCGAGCCATTTGTGGGCAAAAGACCACACGCTCGCGCCTTTTCGGTCCACTTTCCGGGGCAACGCCCACGTTTGTCCACTTTCCCAATTCGCATTCGATTCGTCCGCCTGTTGCAACAGTCCAGCGTTCTCTCTGGAAGCGCCAAGTCCACTGGCTTCGGCTACAGCCCAACGTCAACAGTCAACAGTCAAGGAAAAACCAGCCAGCAGAGGGAAATCTACTGTTGCATCAGCCTTTCCCCGCGCGCGCGCAGTGCCCTTCGCCGCCTGTGACGACAACAAACCATTTTCCAACAACGCCGTGAACCCCTTTCCGAATGCTTCGTACCATTGACCATCTCGACCGATAGCGCGCGGCACCCCGCTCCCCCCCCCTTAACGATCGATCCAGCTCGAGTTACGAAGACTGCGGCAGCAATGGGGTTCCTTGGGGTGTACAAGGCCCTGTATGACTACACTCCCCAGGCGGAGGGGGAACTATCAATCACCGAGGGCGACGTTCTGTATGTGTTGGAAAAGAGCACGGATGATGACTGGTGGAAGGCCAAGAAGAAGGCTACGGCCGAGGATGAGGATGAGCCGGTTGGCTTGATCCCGAATAACTACATCGAGGAGGTACGTCACGTCAGAGCATTGGAGGGTACTTAGCCATTCTTTGGTCTCGCTGATACGAGGTGTACAATGGCTCCAGGTAAAACCGGAAAGCAAGGCTCGCGCGCTGTATGAATACACCAGGCAAACCGACGAGGAGCTGTCCTTCCCCGAGGAGGCCCAGCTCGACGTTTACGATACTACTGACCCGGATTGGATTTTGGTAGGGTACCAAGGAGATTTCGGGTTCGCGCCGGCCAACTACATTGAGATTGCGGCTGGTGGACAAAAGCAGGAGGAGGCCGCACCGTCCATCCCAACTCCGCCTCCGCTTCCCGTCAGGACGCCGAGCGATGCCGCACCCAGCCCCGCCCTTCCCCCGAGACCCCCATCGGAGCCGGCCAGCCCGGCTTCGCCTCCTGTCGCGCCGAACCCAGCCAGCATGATTGCGGGTATGATGGCTGCTCGGGGAGGTCATACCCCCGCGCCATTGGACCTCCAGCCATCTGGACAACGGCATGTTGCTGAAGAAGAAGAAGAACAAGAGGTCAAATCGCCACCTCTTCCGACCCGGCCGCGTGGTGATTCTCAGGTCTCGGAGCCTGCCCGCTCGGCGCCTGCTTCGGGCGGTCTGAAGACACACGGGTTCCGTGACAGTGATCGCATCGACCGCTATAGCGACTCTGTTCCTCAGACTCCAAACACGGCACCACTCACCCCTGGTGACTTTCACATGTATAACATTAATGAAATGGTCTCGGTGATGGGCAAGAAGAAGAAGATGCCTACTACTCTGGGCATCAACCTTCGGACTGGCATTATCTTGATTGCTCCCGAACATGCTTCGGACGGCCCATCGCAGGAGTGGACGGCGAACTTGATGACGCATTATTCTCGGGAAGGCAAGCACGTCTTTATGGAGCTGGTCAAACCAAGCAAGAGCATCGACTTTCATGCGGGCGCAAAGGACACTGCAGAAGAGATTGTTGCGATGCTTGGGGAGCTGGCCGGGGCCGTGCGTGCTGAGGGACTGATGGAGATTGTCAAGGCCACCAAGGGGAGCAAGGTGCCTCAGCAGAAGACTGGCGTTGTTTTGTACGATTTCTTGGCCCAGGGCGAGGACGAGGTTACGGTTGGGATTGGTGATGAGGTTATCATCTTGGACGACACCAAGAGCGAGGAGTGGTGGATGGTCCGCAGGGTTAAGAACCAGTTGGAAGGCGTCGTTCCGAGCAGCTACATTGAAGTCACCGGCATGCTCGACACTCCGGTTCCGACATCGGCTTCCGGTATCAACGCGGGCCGGTCGACCATCGAGCAGAACCGGCTGGAGGAGGCGAGATTGACGAAGGAGGCGCTCAAGGCGGCGAAGCGGGAGGAGAGAAAGGAAAGGGAGGGGAGAAGTTCAGAGGTAGGCCCTGGATTGCGTTTGCCCGAGCGAAGTAGTAGTTTGTCTCAGGCCAGAAATGGTAACACTGTGGGACAACAGCACTCCAGCAGACGCGAGAACGGAGCCTCGGGTTCGTCGAAATCGAAGGATGGGAGCGTCAAGTCGAGTAAGTTTCTTGTGATCTGTGGGGTTTGAAGAGCGCTCGCTGACCATCCTCTTTACTGCAAGAACCCGACCCGGCCAAGGTGCGGACGTGGACGGATCGGTCAAAGTCTTTTACCGTCGAGGCTCAGTTCCTCGGGGTGAAGGATGGCAAGCTCAACTTGCACAAGGTGAACGGTGTCAGGATCGCGGTGCCCATCGCCAAGATGTCGATTACGGATCTGGAATATGTCGAGCAGACCACCGGCATCTCGCTCGACGAAGACAAGCCCCTTTCCGATCTCAAGAAGAAGGCTGCCGCCGAGAATGCTCGCAGTGGACGTTCCTCGTCTTCCAAGACCAAGGTCGGAGCGTCTATTGAGCCAAAGAAGTCCACTTACGATTGGTTCCAGTTTTTCCTGGATTGCGACATTCAACCTCAGTCCTGCGAACGGTACTGTCAAGCGTTCGAAAGGGACTCCATGGATGAGAGCGTGCTGCCAGACGTGAATGCTACGGTGTTGAGGAAATTGGGATTCAAAGAAGGTGATATCATCAAGGTTATGCGATACCTGGATACGAAGTATGCCCGAGGCAAGGGTAGTGTTGGCGATGATGAGTCTGGTGGTGGTTTGTTCTCGGGTCCTGGGGGCGCTCTCCGAAACAACACCAGAAAGGGACGGCCAGCCCCACCAGTGGAGACTAACAACGTTGTTGATCCTAATGCCTTTAAGAAGGACGGTAGCGGTGCCGAGCCCAAGTCGGCGTCTCCCACCACTGCGACAGGACCGGCAGCTGCAACGGCCGCTCCAAGCAAACCCGCAGGTGGATTCGATGACGATGCTTGGGATGTGAAGCCTTCCAAGACTCCCGAACCAGCTCTGGCAGCGAAGGCACCTGAACCCGCACCGGCTCCCGTTGCGGCTCCTGCGCCAGCCCCTGCTCCCGCTCCCGCTCCCGCCCCCGCTCCCGCGCCCAGTACGGCCAAGCTCACGGGCTCGATGCAGGAACTGTCATTGCTCTCTCAGCCATTAGTTCCAGAACAGGTTCAGCCTCCACCAGCTCCTCCTGCTTTGGACTTCTCGCCTGCTCCCACCGCCGCCGCAGTTGCCCCGGTTCCAGCTCCCGCGCAAGTTCCACAGCCTACCGGCGCGACCCCTGGCTTTTTTGGTGGTCTGCAAGCTCCCGTTGTCAACGGACAGCCGCTCACTCAACAGCTCCCGCAAAACATTGCCCGTGCTAGACCTGTGGCACCTCAGTATACCCAGGGTCAAGGCGGTTTGATCGCTCCTCCTCCTCCGTCTCGACCACTATCAGCTCCTCAGACGGCTCAACCCAGTCAATTCGCGCCACCACCACTCCAGCCCCAGATGACGGGCTTCCAGACACAAGTCGCGCCCCCGGGTCAGAGCCTAGCCGAGATCAGCCAGCAGCGGATGCAGCAGCAATACGCCGCTCAGATGCAAGCCCAACAGCAGCAGATGCAGCCTCAAATGACGGGGATGCAGCCCATGATGCAGCCCATGATGACGGGTATTCCTGCTCAGCCAACAGGTTTCCAGCCTGTTCCGGCGGGGCCGTTCATGTCACAACCCACGGGCATGGCACCACCCATGCAGCCGATGCAGATGCAGCCTACCGGGTTTGGTGTTGGTGGGTTCGGACAGCCGCCGGTTCAGCAACAGCCTTTTGTTCCTGGTGGCGGGCTGCCCATGCCGTTGCAGCCTCAGCAGACGGGTATGAGTGTGCTGCAGCCGCAGATGACGGGATTGACTGGGTTTGGGACAACGGGGAGTCCAGTGGGTGGGGGGTTGGCGGCGCCGATGCAGCCTTTGATGCCGCAGAAGACGGGGCCGCCACCGCCGGTGAGATTTGGGGTGCAGCCTGATGCGAAGAAGTTGGCGCCGCAGGCTACCGGACGGAGGGCGAATTTGGCTGCAGCTAGTAAGTTTTTTTTTTATTTTTATTTTTTTAGTTTTTTTGAACCTAGATTACCATGAAGCGATGAAAATGCTGACGCGTTAATAGCACCGGATAATCCGTTTGGGTTTTAATTGTAGTTTGTGAGGGGGTTGGGATGGGTGGTAATGTGAATAGAGGGTGGCCAGGGGGATGTACGGGGGGAAGTTGGTGGGTTGAGGAGTGGTTAGAAGGGGTGGTTGTTGGAAGAGAAGGGGGCTGTTGTTTGTGTTGTATTGAGTTGTGTGGGTTGTCTCTGGCTGTGGTTGTTGTGGGCTGAAGCGATGCAACCGAGTTTACTATATCTAGTTTTTGCTTTTTATTATTCAATGCGTTGTTTTTCTTCGAGTAGAACTGCTTGTTGTACTGTGCCATGCAAGATATTTTGGTTCTAGTATAGCGTGCGTGGGAAAAGGGGTAAACAACAGAGAAGAAGGGGTAACTGTACGTACACCTAGGGCGACTTCGCAGCATCAGTTGAGAGGACGATAGGGAAATATATGTTAGTAAACTTTGGGAACCGTTTTGAGAAGTCCATGGGTAGTGAGTGTGTGATTTGGGATGTGTGACCATCTTGGGAATGAGACGCCGTTTATACATTCTTTCAAGGCGCGGTTCAGCATGGTGGTGCCAGCTACCTATCTTGTCCACGTCGTGGGACCTCAACCCAAGGCAGAGATCATATGATAATCAACATATACCTCCTTTTTCCTCTTCTCTAATTTCTCACAAGTTTAGAACATCACGAACCTCGGCATCTTGACCTGAAGGAGGCCCAGCAAGGTCATGGTCAAAGAGATCCACATTTCAGCCCCAACCTGGTTGAGCTAGAAGCGACATCTGACCCAAGTCTCAGAATGACGTTTACCCACCAAGTGCCCGCGTGACAGGACGGAAAGCTACCTGGTGTGGAAGTTACTTTGGCACCCCGCTGGAGGGTTGCACTTGGATACCTTGTAGAGAGTACTTGAAGTTGTGTGACAGATGAGGCAAAGCAGAGGTAGAGGGTACTCGGCCTGTTGATAAGATAAGAAGCTTGATCTGTGCCAAGACTGGTTCAGATCCCCAACAAAATGCACCTCAGAGGGACTTGAGTGGTCCAGAACAGGTTGGGTGTGGATAGTGAGTGGCTGATGAACGACGACAACTGACGGTTTGCTGCAACAGCTCTCTTCCGAGTTATCCATACGCGAATGACGACGGGGCACATGGCTGGTTGTTAACGGAACGGAGACATCACACAGCAACTGTGGGTGCAACAAAGATATCCCGACGACACTACACTTCGAACTGTTTCTGGAAGAAGGTGGTTGAAAAGGGTAGAGGCTGCATCATCCGCCTGGAGGTAGAGAGGTGTGTGGGTGCCTGGTGACCAATAACCACCACACCTTTTTATCAAGAAGCTTCTCCGAACGAACGGCAACAGCCGCCTGATTTGGCCTTCTCTTTTCCAACCACCACCAACCCTTTGTCGAGGTTGGTGCCTACGAACGGAATACACCTAGTTTTCGATCGACACAAAACCTATAACTTCATCAAGCACCATTGACAAAACCGCCCCCACCTAGATAGCATCAGCAACGCCTGCTTCACACAACCGCCCAGCATGCGCGACCCCTTCCCCATCGCCCCGATCCCGGCCCTCTCAGCCTGGATCCAACCCTACGCCGACGCCCTTCACCTCCCCACTCTCCCTCTGCACATCCACGAAGTCCTCGGCGCCGCCGCCTTCTACACCTTTGTGCACACCATCCTCTCCCCCATCATCTCCAACGCCTTCTTCTCGAAATACTACCCCAAGAACCACCGCGCCAAAAAGGCCAACTGGGATGCCCATGTCGTTTCCCTCGTGCAGTCAGTCCTGATCAACGGGCTGGCGCTATGGACGATGTACTATGACGAGGAGAGGGCCAACAGCGACTGGGAGCAGAGAGTATGGGGGTACACTGGAGCAAGTGGTATGATCCAGGCTCTGGCAGCGGGATATTTCGTCTGGGACTTGGGAATCACGCTGTTGAATCTGGATATTTTTGGGTTGGGGCTGCTGGCGCATGCGGTGAGCGCGCTGGCGGTTTATACTTTTGGATTCGTACGTTTGATGCTCCCTCTCTCTCGCCCCCTGTTTTGATGTAATGCGGTGTACTGACGAAACTACTAGCGCCCCTATCTGAACTACTACTCCTCCATCTTCATCCTCTACGAGCTCTCCACCCCGTTTCTGAACATCCACTGGTTCTTTGACAAGCTGAACATGACCGGTTCCAAGCCGCAGCTCTACAACGGGATCGCGCTTTTGGTCGTCTTCTTCTGCTGCAGACTCGTCTGGGGAACGTACCAATCCGCTGTTGTGTATGTTGACATGTGGAAGGCTGTGCAGAGGGGCCCCGATGCGGGTTACATTGCTGCCGCGTTTGAGAAGGCTTCTGGGGTGGACAAGAATTTGATGCATTTTGCCAAGGATGCGGGGCCGGTGCCGGTTTGGTTGGCGGTCACGTATGTGGCGAGCAATCTGACGCTGAACACGCTGAACTGGTATTGGTATTTCAAGATGATTTCTGCGGTGAAGAAGAGGTTTGAGCCGGCGAAGAAGGAGAAGGCTGCTGTTCCTGCTGGGGGTAAGGGGACTGGCAATGTGGCGACGGGGGCGATGGTGGGGGAGAAGCAGGGGCTGAGGCAGAGGGCGCACTCGATTGGGGATGTGGTGCCTGATTCGGAGGAGCTGAGGCAGGGGACTATTCAGTAGGGATGATGTGTGAAGGTTGAGAGGGGCGTTGGATAGGGGCAATGTGGGATGTATAGGGGGTTGGTGGTGTTGGTTACTGTGGCCTGGGTTTCTGGGTGATGATGGACGGACGGGTGGGCGGGCTGTGTGTATAGCTGTCGATGGTTGTTGTTGTTTTTTCTCGTTTTCGCTTACCTCACTACGTAATCATGGGATATGGAGTATTCAAGCTGGCATTCGGTCGTTTTTTTTATGTCGTGTATGGTGTGTGCACACTTTGGACTGGGATTCGGTTTTTTGGTGATGATGGTGAGATCTTTTTACGAGCCTTGTTTCTTTCTGTCATTGTTCGGCAGGCTCTGCTGAATATTGAAGACGGGCGGGAGTTTACCTACCTACCTTATCTAGTTGTTCACCCTGGGTACCAAGAGAAAGGATTAAACTGCTTAACCAAGGTGACCGACGTTTCTGTGAGTGCCCCCTGATGTTGTTGTGACATGTGTCTGTGTGTGTGGACAGAAGGCCTTGAGAGCCGCTGGGCTGAGCTGAGACAGATGCCCTTTGAAGGTTTCTTAGTGAGACTGGTTTCCATTCCAAATCGATACCAGTAAAGTAAAAATAAGAAAGTGAATAGACAATTTAAAATTGTTTGATACTCAAATGCCCTCATGGCTACCTACGGTATGTTCAGTCCTCAAAGAGTCAGACCTTGATCTTTGACGATCACCAACTCCGGCGAGAAGGAAAGTATAATCTCTCACCACAGGCTAGTCTATATGGGCCTCATCATGTATCCTCCAGACCCTTTTGTCTTTTGTTTTTTCCTTTTTCTTTTTTTTCCTTTTTTTCTTTTTCTTTTTCCTTTTCTTTTTTTTTTTTTGAATGAATATTGTTAAATGTCAGCATTTACCCATCACCAATAATACTTTTTTTTCCTTTTCTCACTAGGCTTCTTGGTGAGTCATGACAGAAGCAGTTGTTGTGTTGCTCTAAATGAGATACTACGTGGGCATCATGAACCTCTTTCAGTATATCACACCAAGGCAGAATCAATGCACATTACATAGCACTAATCACTTTGAACGACGGCAGTTACGTGTTCTTGATTATCAGTTGGAAGGTAGCCGTCAATCTTGAGGAGTAAATTTAAACATTGCGGTCACTACTTCGCTTTCTGCTTCACAAACTATAACTATTGAGCAGTGTGTAGCTACCTCACGGTTCACGATATTGACCCGGGTCTTGCTGTTCTCCAAGGTGCTAGTTAAGATCATCCCCTTGAAGGGCGAGCACAATCTCAGACGACGCAGGGTGGAGGCAGTGTTTTAAAAGCGGTTTTGGGTCAGGTAATGTTTGAGGAGAATGTTTGTCTGTAGCTGAGGGGGCTGAAAAGGGGGGAGGTGGTTGCCATCCGGCCAGACTATTGTCAAGTTTCAACATTGGCAAGGCAAGGGGAGGCTATTGTTGCCTCTTGAGTCTACCTTACCTATGGTCTCTCATCGCCCTGCTCTCTCGGGCAGTGGGATGAGTTGGAGGGGTAAGCCCCTGGGCTTGGTAGGGACTCCTGAGGTTGAGAACAGGCCCCCCACGCTTGAGGAGGGCTCTCCCACACACACGCCGGCGAGGGACATGTCTCGTGCTACCAACTTGGTTTTGTGAGCGAATGTGCTGTTCTATTTAGGTTATGCCCGGAAACACCGGGCGCTTGGAGATTTGCTTTGGCTTCCTGTGTGTGCTTTGTTGGAAATTGTGTACGCCGCATGGTTTGGTGGAAAGGGGGGGGGGTTTGTGTGACGGGATGACAAATCTAGAGCAATGGGAGGTTTGGGATTGAGATGGTAGGAAAGATGGGATGTTTAGGCAAACATAGAGGTTACGTATGGCCCCCTCCGGTGGTCGTGGTTGTTGGGTGTGGTTGTGTGTGTCATACACAGTAATGGTGATGGTGATGGTCTGTGAAAACTGACCTTGTGAAATTCAACTCGAGTCCTAAATCTCTAGAATAGGCTTTCTGGGAAACTAAATTCTATTGAGAGAGTGTAGACTAGCGTCGGGCCACTAGTTTTGATGTCGCGTGTTGACGTCGTTACGGCGAGGAGGGCAGAACTTTGCAAACTGGGCCAAGTGATCATCATTGAATGCCATCATGGAATTATCTAGATACCACTTTGAAACCCAACAGGAAAACAGGCACACTACTATCGTCATTCATACTATACACCGCTCTCATATCACCAGTGATACCTATATTGAGACATATTCTCTGATAGATGCATACCTACATATCATCTTCCCCAACCCTCCCTAACAAACAACTCCATCCTCATCTCCCCCCTCGGCGCTACCCCCTCTCCATCGGGGCTAACAAGAGCC